TGGCCTTGGCCATGGTGGGAGTGCCTTCCCACGTCGCTCCGTGGGCTTCGGACCACGAAGTCAGTGGTTCCCCGGGAGAAGATGAAGCTGTCTGCTCCCTTAGAGGGTTATAGGCTCAGAAGCCCTAACAGATGGGGGTTCCGTGGATCAGGAAAGGCCTCCATACCAGGGGTACCCTGGTTTCCGATACTGTGTCAGACGAACATTTTGTTACAATCTCTGGGGTTGGTGTGGGATAAGTTGTGGAAACAGATCACCAGGCCTTGCTTCCTAGTCTGTCTCAGTGTGGATGTTCCCTTGAAGCCTGTCTGCCGTGGAAGACCCTCCTGGTATTGAAAGACTAGTGGCTCGGCTCCTAGCACCCTAGCACCGGGAAGCTACCGCCACTGTGGTGTGACAATCTGGCACATGGGTGTAGGTGGTGGGCATGGGGATGTTGTTGTATGGTGCCTGAGTTAGTGCCAACTCACAGAGACCCTCTGCACAACTGGGTGAAACACTGCCCGGTCCTGTACCATGCTCATAATTGTCCTCAGGTCTGAGCCCATCGATGCAGCCAGGGGATTAGCCCATCTTGCCAAGAGTCTTCTTTTGCAATGCCCCTCCACTTACTAAGCGTGATGTCCTTCACCCTTTGGTGGTGGACATAGGGTGGACTTAATGCCTTCCCCTCAGCATCATACTAGGGCTGGGACACAGTGGGGTACTGAGGTTCACCCCTGGCCCCCTATGAATCTGCAACCGTGCTTCCCCATAACTCAGACACCCTCACCAGCCCAGGCCCCCACAGGAACCAAGGGACAGTTCTCAGGGGACAAATGGCATGAAGGGAAGCCATGGCCCTGACAGCTTGCCCTTGGGCTGACCCCTCATGCAGCTTGGGTGCACCCCTTATATGGTGCCTTTCCTGGGGTGGCTTGAGTGTCTGTCCCTGTACCTCCATCAGAGAGCAGGCCCCCGGGGGGAGGGCGGGCGGCCCTCCTTGTCTTCAGAGGAGGACGGGATCCCGAGGGAATGCACTGCACCTCGGGGCTGCCAGGACCCTTCCAGAATGGAGAGACAGCCGCAGGTCTGGATTGAAGCTGTGTCTGCCGACACCTGTATGGGACTCCTCGCCCCTGTGCCTATGCAGGCAATCCCATTCAGGAAAAGGGCTTCCTTGGTTGGTGAAGGAGGGCAGAGGCATGCGTGGTGGGCCCTGAGTCCGGGCACTTCCAGGCAGGCAGCCTGTGGAGCAGCAGAGAGGAGCGTGTCCCAGTGGGGTTGTTCCCTCCACTAGCTGGGGGCACTTTGTGTGCAACAGTACGAAACATCACCCTCACGATGGTTCTTATGTTTGAGCCCAGCACTGCAGCCCCCGTCTCGACCCATCTTCTTGCTGGACTTTACCCAGATAGGGGCGGGGGCGATTAGACATCCAGAACTGTCTCTGCACACAGTCAGCCCAGGAGGTTCTGCCGGCAGCTCTATCTGCCCTAGGTGTGTGTTTAAGGTAAAATCTAGTTTACTTAGAGGGGTTCCCAAATGAATCCTTCTGATGTGGTCTATGAAGGATGTTGTGCACCGCAAAGGAACAAAGTCTGAAGTCCCAGTCGTCTATAGCATGCTGCTTGGGTCATGAAGGAAGGTGGTCGTATTTCCACCAATATTAGTATAGGCTGGATGCGGTTTCAGCAAAGAGAGCAACAAGTTCACTGATTTGTCTTCTTCTCTTCAGTATTTGCCTTACAGGAAGAATCCTAGCTGCTAGAAGCTTCTGATGCCAGGAAGCCTTTAAATATGTGGGTATGGCTAGCAATCAGGGTCACTTAGCTCGTGGTAATCGATGGGGGATTACCAGAAAATGGCCAGGGCATTGCGGAATTACGGAAGAACTGGGGAAACCATCAAAATCCGGAGACAACTAACTTACCGGTTCAGTGAGGCCACTCTCCAAAGCCTTTCTCCCTCGTATTTCTTGGGAAAGGAGGTCTTCTGCTCCCCGTGCGTCCAACCTGAACAAGAATGTCTCGGTTTAGACCATTGGAATGCAGACCGTCACTCCTTAGGGCAGTAGAAAACGTCCTCTTCCTGCTGCAGAGCCGCTGGTGGTTTTGAACTGCGGGCTTTGCGGTTAGCAGCCCGACTCAGAACCACTATGCTACCAGGGCTCCGTGGAGGAGGCTTGGCATCTGAATTCAGCGTGCCAGCTCCAGGGGCAGGTCCTGGAGGAAGGGCTTTATCTCATCTGTTTCTGCCTCCTGGCCCTCAGAGATGGGTCCCCGTGGGTCTTGGCACCGCTTAGCCCCAGAGCTGCTCCTCTGGCTTGTTCCGTCCCTTTTCTATCTGCGGGGAGTTGACCCCGACACCCTGCCCTACTGCTGCCTCACACACAGAGCAGACAGCCCTCTCTCAAAGGGTCTGAAACCACCACGGGCATCATGACTGCTCCCTGCCAGAAGGGAACCCCTCCTGGCCCTGCGCCATCCTTGTAATGGTTAGGGGTGAGCCTGTGGCTGCAGCCACAGTGTCCACCCATCTGGTTTAGGGCCACCCTCGTTTCCTCTGTCCCGCTACTCCACCAGGCACCGGTCTCTCCTGACGACGTGTCCAAAGTACGTGCCATGAAGTCTCACCGTCCCTGCCTCTGAGGAGCCTGCTGGCTGTACCTCTTCTGAAAGGCATATCTGTTTGCTCTTTGGGGAGCCCTTGGTGGTTTCCACGTTCTTCGTCAGCACCGCAATCCCAGGGCAGTGATTCTGGGGAGACAACAGAGATGGCAGCCCTGACCCTGCCGTCAAACTCCGCCCTCATTCTGTCCACAGGAGCCCGGCCTGGGCTAGTAGCCCCGGTCCTCGGTGATGGCCCTGCCTGCTCTCCTCCGGAGCCCCTTCTCCCTGGCTGCCCCCTTCTTCTCTTCTGCTTGCAGACACTTTCCAAACCGCTGCTTCAGAAGCTATTGACAGAAACATGAAATCCCCCGTTAGGCAGAAGTACCCGCTTTGAGCACATTGGCTGCGTGCTGTGACAGCTAGGTCAGGCCAGTGGCCGCGTTTTGGGGGACACGGTGTCTAGGCGACACTGGCAGGGTCGGCGGTCGGGTGGACAGAAGGAGGTGGAACTGAACCCCCCAGGGCTCGGCAGCGCGCCCCATTTGCTTCTCGATCATACTTCCAGTCTTGGTTTCTCACCTTATGAAAATGGCTCATTTGCCCGCGGGACCCATTTTGGAAGCCCTTGGGACTCCCCCTTAATGAAGAGCCCAGAGGGTCTGGAGGAGGGTGGGGGCGGGAATAGCCCCAGTTGCTGTGAGTAGACAGACTCCTGGGGACCCCCGTCGATATCAGAGTAGAAGTGTGCTCCACTGGGGTCTCAGTGGCTGAGTTGTTTGGGGGGGAAATAGACCGCCAGGCCTTTCTCCCGAGGTGCCCATGTGAGAGCCTGAACCTCCAGCCTTCTGGCTGGCAGAGAGCGTGTTGCCTGCCCGGCTGCCCAGGGACTCCTTTTGAAAAGGCAGGCAAAATGCTCTGCTCCCCTGAGCCATGCCAGGGGAAGCGTGAATGGCAGGTCTCAGGGCAGGAGAATGGCAGCCTGCTTGGTGTGTTTCTCCTCACTGTCCCAAATCTCTGGGATGCTGGCGGGGGTGGGGAGAGGGGTACCAAGGGAAAGGTAGGAATCACAGGTACCCCCCAGAGCCCCCGGGTGGGGGGGGGCCTTGTCCGTGATGCTGTGCTCCATGGCACCCCTGCTGTTGGGCAGGGGCTGGGTCCCTCTGAGGATGAGCCTCCACCCTCCGGGGACCCCAGGGCGTGGAGAAAGTGAAAAAAAGTACCACTTTGGACTCCCCCAAAGGCCGAGCAGAGAGGAGGCCCCACTGCCTCCCATGGTCACAGCCACACCTTCTGGGGACTTTAGCCACCCCCCCCCTCCTCTGAGCCTCTCCCCCCTGGGACATGGGGTGAATGCAGTGCTTGCCTGGGCCTGGCCCCACTGAGGTTGGCAGCCCTATGAGGGCAGCAACCATGTCTCAGATGGCCCACACCCCCCAGGGCTGTGCAGGACAAGGCACAGAAAGAAGCATGGGGCGGGGGGTAGGAGGAGGGACGGGACAGTGTCTCCACCTTGCTAAGGCACCCCCAGCTCCAAGCTGTGAGCTGTGCCACACCTGGGTGCAGGGACTTCTACATGCACACTTCCCGAGTCACCGGAATGACACAGCCCATTGTCCATGTCACAGCACCCCTGCTGCTCCCCACTGAGTCACGTTGACTGCGTAGGATAGATACTGCCCCCACCAAGACGCCTCCACGGGCATCCCTCACCTAGGTGCGGGTCCACAGGAAGCAACCCTCCCCTGAAATGGCAGCCACGGGAATCCGCTGTGTGTCCAGGGAGGTCGTGCCCCTGGCAGGGTGTTAATATGTTGTTGTTGGCCGTTGTCATGTCAACCTCAGCTCCGGGCCACCTCATGGGTAACAGAAGGAATGTAGCCGGGCCCCACGCCCTCCTCATGCCCCTTGGTGTGGCCGAGCCCACGACCGAGGTCATGGCGTCAGCCCTCACCTTAGCTGGCCTCTCCTGTGCCAGCCCTGATGTCCTTTTGGAGTGGTTAGCCTTTCTTGGTGACCTGTCCAGGTAAGTGATGTGAAGGCCTCAACAGTAAGGTGACCCTGCTGAAGCCAAGGATCCCGGGCCTAAGCAGAGCACCTTAGTTCATGTTACGCAGACCCTCCCAGGTCTTCAGGAGCCCGAATGGCGTACTAGGTAGCCGCTGACTGCAAGGTCAGCCGTTCAATCCCACCAACCCCTCTGTGGGCGCAAGGTGAGGCTGTATGCTGCTGTCAAGATGCACAGCCTGGGAAACACAGGGCAGCTCTGCTCTGTGAGTCAGAAGTGACCGGATGGCAGTGGGCTTGAGCTTGACCAGGTCTCAGAGAACCTCCTGAGCTGACCCCATGGTGTGTAACTCACCTGAGAGCGTTTGTCGGACACTGACACCCCCTCTTGAACTCCTTTTGCAGCAAATCATGACAGATTCAGAAGTGTCGTCGCAGGAGGGCTGCATCAAAAAGGTAGGAGACAGTCCAGCACCTCTTTCTCACCCCGCCCCTTTCGCATCCCAGCCAGATGGCTGGGCAGTTTCCAAAGGAGTGCGGCCGTTGTGCAGTGGTGCACTGCCGCAGTCAGTGAGTGTGCGTGGGGTGCGGTGCCACCAGTCTGGGAGCATTGGGTGACCTGCAGACAAGTGTGTCCGAGGGTCTGGGTCTCTATGGGTGAACAGGTCAGGGGTCTCTTCTCTGGGCAGCCAAGCCCTCATGACGGTGGGGAGGGGGTCCCCGTGGGAATGCTGTCAGTCACACACAGGTTGTATTTATATCACTGTCTTCAATGGAACAAGGTGGGAGCCTGCAGAGCTTCAGGTCCAACAGAGCCGCTCGTTCCACGACGAGCTTTCAAAGACAGCCGGGTGTGGTGTTAACGAAGCAACCGTGAGTGGGCAAGACGTGGACATCTGTGCACGCGGGCATTGTCTGTGGCTGTGCTGAGGGATTGTGGGCAATAGCTGGTTGACAAACATTACCTCTAAAGGGTCCAATGTACAGCCGAGGCACAGAAAGTGCACACACCCCCTCAGAGAGAGCACCTACACAGGCATACACGTGCACACCTGCATGTCCACACCACAGACTATACACCTGAAAAAAGAATCCGATGCAGAGCCCGCTCATCAGGTAGAGTTCAGCTGCTAAGGCATATGCATAACACACTCACTCACATGCATTCATGCACACCCATGCACACACACTTTCATTCACACACCCACGCGCACACACTCACATGCATTCTCTCTCTCTCTCTCACACACACACACACACACACACACACACACACACACACACACACACACACACACACAGACAGCGATTCCTTTGGATTCTGCAGTGCAATTAAGATGCTTTCTCAGTGTGTTGGGTTGGACGCATTGCCAAGATAAAGCAGAGAATGCCCCGGAGGCACCAGTAGGCCCTAGGCAGTACCCTCACTCCTCCTTAAAGTCACGATCACCCCTGGATTTGGTCACACAGACCATGTGCTCCAGGGGCACCCCCAGCCCTTCGAGTAGGACACCCAGAGCAGGGTGCCCAAGTCATCTTCGCCCTGGAAGCTTCCAGGAAGGTCTATTCTGTGTCTGAGGGGCTCTGTACATGGCAGAGCAATCGTGAGGGAAGGGACCCGCCTCTGCCCACCAGGACAAGCCCCCAGACAGCGAGTGCAGAGGAGACCGTGCAGGGCGGACCCTGTCTGAGGCTGAAGGGACCCCCAGCAAGACATTTTTCTTCCTCCTGCTGATGACCCCTGCAGTTGTGTGTGACCTTCCAGTGGGCCCTCCGTCTGGGCAGACGGTGGAGTCAGGGGTCCAGTTCCCCATCCCCGCTGCCTGGGCCACCCTTGGCTTTAGCCATTCGCTTGTCCAGTGCTCCCTTGCAGGTGATGCAAGCAAATTGCTTCTGCAGCAACTCCTGTCCTGCAAGTGCCTCCACCCAACGTAAAATGCAGCAAGCCGTGCATCTGCTCTGCATAGAAGGGCGGGGTCTTCAGTCCCTCTGACAGAGGCCAGAGCCAGCGCTGTCTCTGGCCTCTCGCAGTGGACAATGAGACCCTCACCTTCTCACCACAGCTATGCAAACCAACGGTCTGCTGGTAGGCCCAGAGTTGGATGGTGCCTCTGTTTTCCCGGAGCGCATTGTGGGCACTGTCCAGTGGGCGTCTGCTTGCGTTCGTCTCTGGAGAACCTGTGGCCATCCTGGGCACAGCCGCGCAGACCCTAGCATGATCCTGTGCCATCTTCACAATCATCGATGTGCTTCCGAGTCGTGCTGTGACTGCTGGGTCACCGGAGCGCCATGACCATGTGGGGATGATGGTGGCGGGCCGTGGTGCAAGAGGTTGAGGCACCAGGTAAAGGGTTCGAGCCTCTTTCAGGGGCGGTGAAGCGGTGAGGAGTCTCCTGGAAGCCAACGAGAAGGATGGCTGGAGTGAGCCTCCGAGCTGTGGGGCAGGTTTGGCCTGCGTGTAGACATGAGCTGCCCCGGGAGGTCTGGCAGCCACACAGCTGAGATTTCGGCCATTGTGCTGGGCGGGAGACCAGCAGGGACTTTGCGTCAAGATTCTCACTGTCCTTGCCCCCCGCCCCCCAGTGCTGAGTCTTAGCGACCCGCCAGCCCCGAGTAGAGCTGCCTCGTGGGGCTTCTCTTCATAAAAACAGGTGCCACATGCAGACCCACACCTGGACCCGAGAAGGTTCTCCCCAGTGACCGTGGGAGAGAGGGTGGGGGTGCTGCTGAAAGACAAGGACGTGAGGCCTGGGATGACCAAGTGATACAACCGCCAGCTGATCTTATTCCCAAACAAAAGCTCTCACTTACAAAGAGGGGTGTGTGTGTGTGTGTGTGTGTGTGTACCGCAAAACCTGTCTTCCAGAACCCATTGTCTGTGTTGTGGAAGGGCTCAGAAAACCCAAAGCAAACGCACCACCATGGAGTCGGTTCTGGCTCCGTGACGCAATAAGACAGTTTCCCAGGCTGTCGGTCTTGGTGGGGTCTCATAGAGAGCTGGCAGATTTGAAGTACTGACCTTGAAGTTAGCAGCCCCCAATGCATAAACCACTCTGCTTGTTGAAGGACCATTTCCACGAAGCCCTTGGTAGTGGGAACCAAGCCTTCTGGTTCATGGTCTCTCGTTGGGGGTTTGTGGCTGTCCGCGACGTGGACCTGTGCTGACTCATGTGATGGGTCAGGGCTCTAGCCACAAGGAGCCCTGCTGAGCTACCTGTGGGGTCCCACCTTCAAGAGGAGAACCTCCACTCTCCAACTTCCTCTGATCCAGGGAAGCATTCCCATGCTGAATCAGTGCGTGCCATCAGGTGACTAATGCATGTGGAGGGGGGGGGGAGTCATAGGCAGAATTTGTGGGAGTCTCAGTGAAACTTCCTAAAGATTGGAAAACCAGGGTGCTGGGGTTGGGGAAGTGCGAATCAGAGCAGCTCTTCAGTTGGTAAGTGAGGGGGCCTGGGCCAGAGAGGGGGGCAGTGGAGCCTGGACTGTGTACTCGGGATTACACCCCAGGGTTATAGACCCGGGATGAGAATCCGGGACGGTGTACCCAGGCTGACAGTCCGGGAAGGCGCAGCTGGGCGGAGGATGAGGCTGGGACTGCACAGGGGCTATAGCCTGCGGGCAGCGCTGGGCCTGGCCTCACCCTGGGAGGGGAACCCGCCCAGGCCTACCCCGCACTTCACTCTATGCTTTTCTTTCCCCTCCCCTTAGCCCCTTGGTCCTCTGTCCCCTTCTCTGCTTCTCCTCACACCTGAATGGGCCATTTCACCACCCCCATGCAAACAACCCCTCTGACGCCTGTCCCTGGAGCCCCAACCCCTCAGTTGCAGTCTCTCATGCCTTGAACCCCTCACCCCTCCCTACCCCCTCCGTCCTGCACCCTCCCACATTCACCACTTGAGCCCCCTCTATCCCACATCCCCTGCACCCCATGCACCTCCTCCACCCATCAGTCTCCCCTGGCCCCTCTCTGGTCCTCCTCACTTCCCTATGTCCCCACTGCCCTCCACTCCCATACCCCTGTCCCTGAAGCTACCCTCACCTCTGCACCCCTCCCCAACTCCATACCCGTCCCCCTGCTCCCTTCTGAGCTCTGGCCCTGGGGCGTGCAGCAGTGCCGGGCCCCACCCCCTTGTGCCTGTCCCCACCGTGTGCCCCCATGCGGCTCTGTCAGGGTGCGGCAGGCTCATCCCCAAAAGTCACTGTGGCCGCCGGCTGGTCGTCCGTTGCCCTGCTCTTGCTGCGGTGCCGGGACCTCTGGGACCAACCCTCCATTTACTCTGTTTACTTAGCGGGAAAGCCCGGGGCTCCGTGAGAGCAAACATCTGCAGGAGATAATCTAGCCGGTGTCCATCCATCACTCGGGCACCCGGCTCCCTGGAGAGCCGCTGGAGCCCGTAATAAAAAGGCCGGGCGAAGAGGCTTTGGGGACGAATAAAGAGGCCTGTTAAGGGCGGCTGGAAATGGATGGAAGACATTATTAAGGCTCAATGGCCGTCTTATCAAAATCCAATAGGATAGACATTTGGCAAAAGGCTTAAATTTATTCTTTGACTTTCTGGAGGGCTTGAATTTATCCGGTAACAAGAGTGCCGTCCACCCAGGGAGATGGTATCGGCGCAAAGAATTCTGATTCAATCTCTGTGGTGCCCCGGCTGCCTGTGCCTTTGTCCCACGTTATCTTGTTTTCTCTGCCCCCCTCGCAGGGAAGGGCGGCGAGTTAATACTGTGCGTCCTGGCCCGAGCGCAAGACATGCGAAGGGACCCTTGGTTTTCTTCCTTTCCTGGCCTCTTCCCCTGCTTAGCAAACAAACAGGCAAACTGGGGATGTGCAGCCATTAAGTCTAGGACTGGGGACCTGAGAGAGATGCCTTCGCTTCTCTCTCTCTCTCTCTCTCTCTCTCTCTCTCTCTCTCTCTCTCTCTCTCTCTCTCTCTCTCTCTCTCACACACACACACACACACACACACACAACCACCTCAGCGCTCAGGGCAAGGGGTGGTGGGGGCGGCCAGTTTCAAAGCAAAGTCACAAATAAATGGAGCTAATAAAGTCATGCCGCCGGAGAGGGGACGGGCGATGGGTTCATAAATCTCCCCGTGTTATTATTACGTACAGAATGCTACAGGTCATAAAAGCCATCCGATGGCCGGCCCCGCACTGTCCCAACAGGGTGATGGATGGGTAATTATGATAATTTGTGAAATGATGATTAGGATATTAGAGTGATGGCGTGTTCCACTGGGAGGCTGCCAGGACGCTGTCTGTAGCCTGGCCCTGGAGGCATGGCCCCTGGCCCAGGAAGCCCAAGGGTCTCCTTGACGACCCCTATCAGGAAGGACTGGGATAGGGTGCTAAACAGGGCTTGCGGGGGCGGTGGTCTGGGAATAGGAGCCCAGCCAACTCTGAGGGGTCAGAGAGAGCAGGCTTCGGCTCACGGCCTTGTAGGCAAGGAT